AAACTATTTATTAAATTTACTTTAATTCTTGTAATATTAAATATTTGTAGCAAAAAGATTGTCACCAATGTTTTCTGGACTGAACTTGCTGTGCCTGTAGTAACCATGCTCTGTGATTTGGTCATTAACAGCAGTGAATTTTGTCTGCATGCAGCACAGACTATTTGTCACTAAATGCAACTTACAAAGAGTTGTTTCTTTGGCTTGGGATATCCCTCTAGGATGCTATTTAAAATTTCAGTTGCCTGAAGAGGAAAATAAACAGAATTGCAATACAAAGTGAACAATGAGCAATACATAATGACGGCAATTCTCTTAAATAATCATAAACATCACCAGTGAGATAAACTACATTGTACTGTCCTACCATTCTCTTTCTTTTTCTCCAGGACTGAACATATAGTTTGTGTTCTTTGTAGATCTGAAGATTCAAAATAAAAGCAAGTTCACTGACACAAAAGTACTTGAAAATAACAACCATTTATCAAACATCATTATAGACACAAATTACTAACAAATTCAGTTGTCTAACCTTATCCTTTTCCTCTGGAGTGACATGGTTTGAGGCTAAAAAGAAAATTTTGAAAAAGTTAGCTTTAGCATTGAAAAAAAAGCCAAACTTTAGGGTCTGAAACACTTACATTGATAACCAAATCCCAGGGGCAGGGTTGTCAGAAAGTTTTAAAGAAGACGGCTGAGTTGTCAAAGCAAGCGGCCAGTCCAGGGATATTTTAAAGAAATGCCAAGCAGAGTAGCCAGCCTATACTAACCAAGTAGGCGGTAATTTTTGCCGGCAGCCGGCTACTTTTGACAGCCCTGCAGGGGTAAGTTGCCCCATTGGATGACTGTAATTCAAGCTGCTTAAACATCTTAAAGATATGACCAGTTATTAAAAGAATCCCCCCAAAACTTGTAACTTTCATTTTAATTTTACAAAGGAAAACTATAACTTTACAAATACTATCATTGTAAAATCCTTAAAGTTTTAGGAAATCATTATCTTACCAGACTTGATGTTCTTGATTCGTTCCTGGTATTTGTTGCACTGAAAGACATGATTTGTCATTTTTATGTGAAATGCTGTAATTAACTTGGGGGGCAGCAAAAATACACCCAGGGGGCTAGGCCTTAAGTACCTTGATTGATAGGCCTACTCTTCCAGGAGGGTAAAATTTGTGGATTGGTACTTCTTAAGGTCAAGTGATACTGGCAACGTTTTTGCTCAACTTGTCATGCACATTGTTGCATTGCAAGTTAAAAAGCATTGTTGCCCGTATTACCATCTTCGATCTCAACTTGTTATGCAACAAATTTCAATGTTGCAAGTGGCGGTTCATTTAGTAAATCCTGCGCTGTGATTCGTCAACAGAGTGTTTTGTGTCAGCCTTTCTAAGAAATCGAGGAATAGCTACCCTTCAGGCCTTGGTTTAGGACGAAGAAGGTCAAAACCATGCAAAAGAAGCCAAAAGGTTTACATAATAGAGTGGATTGCTTTGCACAAAGAGAGGGGGCTTTACCATTAGCTGGTAAAGGAACTTGAGTCAGGAAAAATTGTTGCTTAAATTTTTGACATGAGTGATAAGTCATCCAAAGCTCTTGTCCTCTGCTGCTTGTGTTTTATAATCTGCTCAACAACTGCCCCAAACCCCACAAGCAGGTTGCAATGCTAATTTTACAAGTACCTTATTGGTCAGATCTTCTAATCTAGCTTTGGCATCTTCAGTTGTCAGCGTACTGTTGACATTCCGCAGCTCTGAATTAAAATAAAGATCACCAACACCACTGCATATCATGGTAAATACTTAACTTGAAGAACATAATATCAGGGCTTTCCTAATGAATTTAAGGGGGCACTGACAATTTAGTCCAGAAAAAATGCAGAACAAAGATTAATTTTTTAATTTTCTTCTCTTTTTAAATGGACTTCTTTTAATCATTTTTTCATCATTATGTTCCTGTCTTTCTCACTCAGACATAACAGCATCACCATTACCTGTCAGTTTAAAACCTAGTTTTTTAAAACCTTTCATGATAAACTAATTTTCCTGCTTAGGTCACACACTGTAACTAGCTGCAATTTAAAAGTTGATCAGGAAGAAAAGTTTTGTTTAAAGGAAAAGAGACCTGTGGAACCAAATTCAAATTGAAGAAACAGTACGAACATGATGTGGAGCTCAATTGCCTCCTTTCAGGTGGGTTTCTTTGTTGTTGTATCAAAATGATTGACCTTTGTTTCAATTGGTTGTTCAGCCCTAATGGCTTCAGTCTCCTAAGCAGCATTTCTTTGTTCACACAACACTCCTCCCTTAGGGATGATGATGATGATGATGATGATGATGATGATGATAATGAGACAAAGATTGTTGAATGCAATGTAAGAACCATTCTTTTAAAACTTCTGTGCTGGCTGTTTACCTGCATCTTGAGTTTTCAATGTTTCCTGCAACTGCTTCAACTTTTCTTGTGATAAACGGATTTTCTCATCAATTTTCTTCACTTCATTTTCATCATACTCCCCAAACTGGTCCTGCAAACAAGGAAGGTCACTTTAGGAAATACTACCACCATGTGTATGTCATTGCACTAAATTATTAATAATAACCTACATAACACAAAACATCATCTTGATAAGAAGACAGTTTGGGAGAGGTACTTATAAAACCAATTTTGGATAGGCATATGCCAAAAAAGCTGAAAAATTGAAAAAGTTGAAAATTGGGAATATCTCTACCTTTTTTGAGGCCCATAACCAAAACATTACACCCTATATTTGAGGGAAAACTGATAGTGTAGAATTTTCTGAACACCCTGGGGGGGAAGCACTTGGGTTTTTTTTGGGTGGGTATGTGCCGCCCGGGACTCCAAATTGGCACCCCGTTCTAAAAAAAATTTCCCCTAAAATTGATACCCCATTCTAGAAATGGGCCAATTTTTTATACCCTGTTCTAGAATTCGCCCTAAAACTGATACCCCGTTCTAGAAATGCGCCAATTTTTTATACTCCGTTCTAGAAAGTTTGTAAATTGAAATAGCCCTGTTTTTTAAAAAAGATATTTCTTTATTTGTTCTACCTATACATCAAATAAATGCTTCTTCATAATCAGCAACAATTTTGAGCAGAACATAAAGCCGTTATCCACAATTTTTTATACCCCGTTCTAGAAAACGCCTCTGAAATGGATACCCCATTCTAAATCACCCTGTTGGGCGGCACATACTCGTATAGGTAATGTATGGGAGTACCCCCCCCCCCCCCCCCCCACGCCCCAAAATAATCTTTTTTTCTTTTTCAATAAATATAAGTGGGCCCCCCCTTTCTGTCCCACTCTTCTTTTTGCCGTTGTGCGCGGAGTGGGGGCGCAGATTAGTTT